CTGTGTGTATAGTGTCTCTGTGTGTATAGTGTCTCTGTGTGTATAGTGTCTCTGTGTGTATAGTGTTTCTGTGTGTATAGTGTCTCCGTGTGTATAGTGTCTCTGTGTGTATAGTGTCTCTGTGTGTATAGTGTCTGTGTGTGTATAGTGTCTCTGTGTGTATAGTGTCTCTGTGTGTATAGTGTCTCTGTGTGTATACGTGTCTCTGTGTGTATACTTGTGTGCGTGTGTATAGTGTCTCTGTGTGTATACGTGTCTCTGTGTGTATACGTGTCTCTGTGTGTATAGTGTATCTGTGTGTATAGTGTCTCTGTGTGTATACGTGTGTGCGTGTGTGTACACGTGTTGCACGTGACGGAGAAAGACGTGCAGCAATTTCAAGTCTCGAGTGATACACGAACGGCGCCTGGGTCTCCCCTAGGTCGATTCGGCCTCAAACGAGTAGCAGGGAGGACAAAGGCGGCTGGGAGTAGTGCCGCCGCGATCTCCACTCGAGCGGCCTGCCGACCTGGAACGTCGTTCAGCAGCGAGCGCCGTGCCGCGCCAGCGTGCAGAGACCCCATGTGGGCTCTGCGACGCAGCGGGGTCTGGGTCAACGCAGCGGTGTCTGGGTCAACGCAGCGGTGTCTGGGTCAAGGCAGTGGTGTCTGGGTCAACGCAGCGGTGTCTGGGTCAACGCAGCGGTGTCTGGGTCAACGCAGCGGTGTCTGGGTCAACGCCGCGGTGTCTGGGTCAACGCCGCTTGCTTCCTCTGTGTCACGTGGCGGCCAGACGTCACCACGGCCATCGCGTGATGGACACGAGCCCCTGACCCCATCCCTAACACAAGCAGCAACAAATCAACTCTCGGCCTGACCCTGCCCCTGAGCCGAAACTCGCCAATAACCCGAGACTCGCCCTTTCCCAAGTATTGACACCAGCTGTGGCAGTAGCACGGACCCTGGTCCTGACCCTGGTTCTCATCCTGTGCTCAACGCTCGGCCCACTAAACCCATTGTTCTGACCCTGAACTAGCACTCACTGTAGCCCCAACACTCGCGCCGAATCTAACGCCAACACTGGCGCCTCCACACAAGTGAGACGAGCGAGAGAGAAAGTGTGTACACGTGTGAGAAAAACCCAGCCGTGCGACGGGAAAACACTCGATCCCACACGGACAGAACAGATGGACAAAGTGCTATGAAGGCAACCACGGCGCCCCAGGGGGAGGGGGTGGTGTGGACAGCACCACGCCCGGACGCCTTTGTCTCCCCAGTGCTTACTCACCTATGGAAGGCCCTACCTAGATCGAACGGTTCAGATAATCTCCACCGACGATGGTCGAAGCCGGGAATCGAACTCGGGTCACCGGGTTCGTAACGCAGTGCGCTAACCACTGCGTCACCACCGCTTCCACCCCCAGACACACGCGGCGTGTGCGCGTCACCTTCACGGCTCATGAGCCGGGCCCCCCATCATCGTCCCCCCCCCCCCCCACATGGCCACCCCTCCCCCCCCCCCCCCCCCCTCTGCAGCACCCACTAAATCCTGGTTATTGCGGTTCAGCAGCAGAGCAGCCGCGCCAGAGGAGTGGAAATGCGTCCATGAGAAGCGGCACGTGGTTTGCTAACGGCGTGGGGGACAGGGGAAGGAGGGAGGGAGGGAGCGAGGGATAGGGGGAGGAGGATGGATACGATGGAGGAGAAAGAGAGAAGAGGTAGGAGGAGAGTGAGGATCAGAGGCAAGAAGAGGGAAGGGGACGATAGAGGGGGGGGGGGGGAAGAATCGATCGAGTCACAGGGAAATAAAACGAAAGAAAAGAGGTGGAGATGAGAAGAAGAGAGGAAGGGAGGAGAGAAATGACGCGGGGGGGGGGCAGAGGGGGGAGGGGGAGGGAGATGGACGAGAGAGGAAAAAGACATCTCTCTTCACCTCTGCTCTGCGCCATCACCACGTGGACTGAATCTTAAGAGCGGAGCTGCGTTAAGCACAAGAGCAGCGGCAGCAGCAACGGCAGCTGCCTGCAAATGCGAGAGTGTGACACTTAGACGAGAGAGAGTGACACTGAGAGAGAGAGTGTGACACTGAGAGAGAGAGTGTGACACTGAGAGAGAGAGAGTGACACTGAGAGAGAGAGAGTGTGACACTGAGAGAGAGAGAGAGAGTGACACTGAGACTAGAGAGAGTGACACTGAGAGAGTGTGACACTGAGAGAGTGTGACACTGAGAGAGAGTGACACTGAGACGAGAGAGAGTGACACTGAGACAAGAGAGTGTGACACTGAGAGAGAGAGTTTGACACTAAGAGAGAGAGTGACACTGACACGAGAGAGTGTGACACTGAGAGAGTGTGACACTGAGACGAGAGAGAGTGTGACACTGAGAGAGAGTGACACTGAGAGAGAGTGACACTGAGACTAGAGAGTGTGACACTAAGAGAGAGAGTGTGACACTGAGACGAGAGAGAGTGTGACACTGAGAGAGTGTGACACTGAGAGAGAGAGAGTGTGACACTGAGAGAGAGTGACACTGAGAGAGTGTGACACTGAGAGAGAGAGTGTGACACTGAGAGAGAGTGACACTGAGAGAGTGTGACACTGAGACGAGAGAGTGTGACACTGAGAGAGAGTGACACTGAGAGAGAGAGAGTGACACTGAGACGAGAGAATGTGACACTGAGAGAGAGTGACACTGAGAGAGTGTGACACTGAGAGAGAGTGACACTGAGAGAGTGTGACACTGAGAGAGAGTGACACTGAGACGAGAGAGAGTGACACTGAGAGAGAGAGAGAGTGTGACACTGACACTGAGAGAGTGTGACACTGAGAGAGTGTGACACTGAGAGAGAGTGTGACACTGAGAGAGAGAGTGACACTGAGACGAGAGAGAGTGACACTGAGAGAGAGTGACACTGAGAGAGAGGGTGACACTGAGACGAGAGTGACACTGAGACGAGAGAGAGTGACACTGAGACGTGAGAGAGTGACACTGAGACGAGAGTGACACTGAGACGAGAAAGAGTGACACTGAGAGAGTGTGACACTGAGAGAGAGAGAGTGACACTGAGACGAGAGAGAGTGTGACACTGAGAGAGTGTGACACTGAGAGAGTGTGACACTGAGAGAGTGTGACACTGAGACGAGAGAGAGTGACACTGAGACGAGAGAGAGTGACACTGACACAAGAGTGTGTACATGTGGGAGAATACCCTGGCGTGCGAGGGAGAAACACTCTACACCACACAAACAAAACAGATGGGCTCCGAATTGTTGATGTGCCGCCTTATCCTGGCGAGCCAGAGAACTGCGCCCCCTCGACGCTCACGGGAAGGGAATTTCACAGCCCATCTGTGCGGTGATGCACCAACCCTCGCTGCTGCCTCCACAGCACTGGATTACATTGCCCATAGCACTGGATTACATTGCCCACAGTACTGGATTACATTGCCCACAGCACTAGATTACATTGCCCACAGTACTGGATTACATTGCCCACAGCACTGGATTACATTGCCCACAGCACAGGATTACATTGCCCACAGCACATGATTACATTGCCAACAGCACTGGATTACATTGCCCACAGTACTGGATTACATTGCCCACAGCACTGGATTACATTGCCCACAGTATTGGATTACATTGCCCACAGCACTGGATTACATTGCCACGTGCAGCAGCGTAGCTACCACAGCCACAAGGAGCCAGTGTTTGGCCCAACCAGACAGAGGCAGCCGCTCAGTGACTCGGCACCAACAATTGCCCAAGCTCCGACGTCCTGTACATACGAAGGCGTTGTCGGCCAATCCAAAGAGTGTCTCCCCGTGGGAGGAACCGGAATCACGTGTGGCATGCCCACCCACCCCTACCAGCGGCTCCAAGAGGAGTCGGGCACCTCCCCCGGAGAGGATCGTCCTCCCGGCTCTGATGGATGCGCGCTCCTAATTCAATTGCCTCATTCATGAGCAATGCATTAATGATGCACGGCTTGGCGCTGCATTGTAGCACCGCAGTCACCTCACTGTACCTTTCTAGTTTTGTTGCAAAGCAGTGACACCACGTGTTCTGTGACAAGAGCGTTTGACCGCGACTTTAAAGTTTGACTTTTTCCTCCGCGGGACAGCCCAGAACACTCCGCGCCAATACGGGGTAGGGGTGGCCTAGAGGGGTCGCCCCGGGTTTGGGAGGTTATGGTTTTTGGGGTTATGGTTCTGGGGGTTATGGTTCTGGGGGTTAGGGTTTAGGGTTAGGGGGGCTCTGGAGTTCCATTTATCTTTTTTTTGGTATCTGTTTATTTGTTTTCTGTCAACTCAAACCAAGACCACCCCCGTTAAGATTCAAACATCGGGGGGGGGGGGGTCAAAGGGTCAAACTACCGGACAGGCAGCGCGCCGCTATCCTTGGTCTCCGCCATGGGAATGTGGAATGTGCCTCACTGGCTCAGGGCCACCAGAGACGCTGAGCGCAGAGCCACGAGTGAGCTGGGAGAGCCGCGAGTCTCGTCGCTCCTCGGGAGTCCACGGCGACCGCGAGGCGGCTCCCTGCCGCTGCTGCTGCAAGCTCCGTGGACTGCATGCGGTGCAAAGTGGAAATACTCGACTGGGACGAGATGCATGGCAGCAATCATCACCAGCATCACCAACCTCGTTGTTGTCCCCTACTGACAAGACGATGTCCGTTAACAGGCCGGCAGGTGCCGAGTTACCGTGTGCCGCACAGAGACAGCTGCCACTTGCAGGTGGGGGGGGGGGAGGAGGTGCCCCTTGTAAATGTGTTGAGATGATGACATGAGATGCAACGCGCTTCGGAGACGCCCCGGTGAATTGGAGGGTGCTGTATCAATCTCAAATCATTGATCGTTAATAGTGAACTTAACGAGCAACCCGCGCGTCCTTTGGACGTGAGCCTCCCTCCCGCCAGCCAGCCATCAAACCCTTGTATGTAGAAGTATAATAATATTGTAACATACGACGTGACCGGCGCGACTGGCTCTTACCGGCAGCAGCCGGGGCGCGGATCAGCACCAAGGACAGCGTCTGGCTTGGGTTTCGCCTCCGCGTGGCGCCGCGTTCTCAAGAGGCGTCTCGCATCCCCTCGTGATGGCGCAGCGAGAGGTATAAATAGGGCAGATCCATTGCCGCGGGTGGTGGCGGTGGAGGGGGTGGGGGGTTAAGGGTGGGGGTTTGGAGGGGGGGAGGGGGAATCCGTGAGTGAGTGTGGGGCTGGAATGGAATGAAATTGGAATCGCGTGGGAAAGTAATCGGCTGTTGGTGGGCCCTGCCAGCGAGCCAGCCGGCCATTCAGTCACCGATCTCGCCGGTCACCCATCTGTGTCTCCGGCACAGATGGCTCGCTAGCTATGTAGTGGCCCGGCTAGCTAGGCCAGCCAACCAGCCGGCCATTCGGCTATTCAGGCAGCCAATGTTGGCAATGCATCAACAAAGCCAGCCAGTCATCTTTGCCAGCCAAGCTCGTCAGATAATCGATTTGCCAGCGAGCGAGTCGGCTGGCCACTCACCTTTTATAAACCAGCTAGTCCCCGTGCCTCGGATGAACACGGGTGGCTACGCACAGTGCGAAAGAAGTTCAGCATACATACTAGGTCAGCGAGTCATAAAGCCAGCCGCCAGTCAGGCAGACAGCTAGCTAGTCAGTAAACCGACCAGCTCACGACGCATAGACTGTAGTACATGACCGGACTGCCTACCCGCTGTGTCCCAAGCAGTGGAGAGAGATGGCGAATCGGCGAGTCAGCAGACAGAGAGAGATACTTTAAGAGCCCACGGGGCTGCGTGGAGTGCGGTTTCAGCCATCGCGTGCAGCAGCACTCGCACGCACAATGCAGCGATGACTGACACTACGACACGGCGAGGGGAGGGGGGCACACCTTGCCAGCAGAGAGTGCTCCTCGCGGCGTTGCGATGTCCAACTTTTTGGAATTCTCGGAACCTTGCTGGAGACGAGCAACTCGCTCACACGAGACAGAAGAGGTGCAGATGCCTGCAGCGAGATGAGATAAATGTAGAGACAACGAGAGATGTCACGAGGAGCGAGAGAGAGAAGGGGGGGGGGAGATGCAGAGGAGTTGCAGGCGAGGGAGAGGAGTTGCCTGGGGGGGCGGGGGGGTGCGCGCTGTGTCGCGGTTGACACCTCGAGGGTCGTGGCGCTGAGTCGCTCTCCGCTCCCACGTGGTCCTCATCTCACCTGACCCCCCCGTCCACCCCCCTGCCGCCACCTCCTCCACCACCCCCACCACTGCCTCCTCACCCCAACCCACCACCACCTCCACCACCACTTCCTCCATCCCTCCCACCCCCATCACCTCTTCTACCACACCCACCAACCTCCTCTTCCACCACCTCCTCCGTCTACCCTCATGCTCTGTGCGTAGAGTTTGTTGAGGATTCGCGTGCACGTAGTCGCTGTGTAGTCATGATCACGAGTGACATCGAGATAGAGGGTTTTCCCAATCCACATGATTCGGAACCACCCCACGGATCGTCTTTACTCGTTCCCACGTGACGTGGTGACTGCCGGACAATACGAACGAGCTCTCTGCACGGCACACGGGACACACGTGCGTTAAGACAAATATCCCCCCATATAGCTTCATCAGACTATTGGAGGAAATTATATTAGCAGCACCCAAGAAGGCCCCGTACGGCACACGAGGGGGTGGATGGCCAACACCACGCACGGCCGCATTTGTCTCCAATTGCTGATGTTTACACACCACATCAAGGTACTAATTTAAGGCTGAGTCGACCTTCGAGAAGCCCAGGTCCGGTTCAGATACGCGTCACTTATACGAGTCGTGAGTCGGGAGTCGTACCTCTGGTCTCTGCCGGGTTCTTCGTGGTTAGTGCGTTAACCACTGCACCACCGCTCCCCACACGTGTACATGCGCGCGTGCACAGAGGGTGTCTCCTTCCTCTTAATTTCAAACGGGGCACCCCAAGTCACGCCGGACGCGTCCACGAGACATCATCGTCACCATGGTCATCATCGTCACCATGGTCATCATCGTCACCATGGTAAGGCATTAACTTTAATTGATAAGCTGGGTGGCGCAGCCTGGGCTCAAGGGAATCAATCCAGGAGCTGCGACTCTGCCCGCGGTCAACATGTATTCTATTTACGGAAGAAAGCTTTATCGCTCTCGCCAATCCTAAGTTTGTCCCGTGAAACAGATCTCAGGCCACTCCCCGCCGCCAGCCCAAGACCCGCGAGGTTCGGATTCGCCTCCGACGCTCGGTCAACAAACGGCGCGGAGCTGAGACCGCTCTCATTTCGATCCCGCCCGGGCGTGGCGATCGAGCCAGGGCAGGACATTCCACATTCCCAGCCGAGGCTGTGAGACTCATCCACCCGCCTGGTGGAAGAGGGAAGGCGAGAGAGGTGAGCGGTCGGTGTGAATCCGAGTTCACCGCTTTCCCACCGCTTACTCACCACTCTCTCACCAATCATTTTATTACTCACTCGCCACTCATTCACATCTCACCACCGACCTGTCCGTCAGTGTGCCCATCACCTCGCCGTGTGCCCATCACCTCGCCGTGTGCCCATCATCTCGCCGTGTGCCCATCATCTCGCCGTGTGCCCATCATCTCGCCGTGTGCCCATCACCTCGCCGTGTGCCCATCATCTCGCCGTGTGCCCATCATCTCGCCGTGTGCCCATCATCTCGCCGTGTGCCCATCACCTCGCCGTGTGCCCATCACCTCGCCGTGTGCCCATCATCTCGCCGTGTGCCCATCATCTCGCCGTGTGCCCATCACCTCCCCGTGTGCCCCAGCGGTTGAGCGATGGAGGCGGAGGAGGGGGACTCGGAGCAAGCGCCGTGCACCGCGCGCCTCCTCGCGCACCGCGTGCCCCTCGTTCGCGCCCTGGCCGCGGGGCTGCTGCCCCCCGTGCTCGACTCGTTGCTCGGGGCGCGCGCGATCTCCTGGGAGGACTACGAGCGCGTCCGCTCCCACGCCGTGCGCCACGACCGGGCGCGGCAGCTCCTCGACATCGCGACGTGTCGCGGGGAGCGCACTGCGCGCGCGCTTTGGGGGCAACTCGAGGAGACGGTGGCCGCGAGGTGGGACTGGCCCGAGGACCCCGACGGACGGGACCCTGGAGTCGAGGGTGGGGCCGGCGACGCGAGCCGGGGTCTGCCTCGCGGACATCGCGAGCTCACGCTGGAGTTCGAGCCCCGTCCCGCGTTCCCCGCGCAACCCCGAGGTTGCGGGGTTTGCGTCGCGCAGAGCCGCGGATTTCTGGAGGACGTGCTCGACGGGGAACCCCGGGTGGTGATCGACGGAGCCGTGCCGCTGGACGGGAGGTCGGAGCCGCGGCGCCTCTCGGCGGCGGAGCGGCGCGAGGCGCTGGCCCGAGTGGCGCAAAATCCGCGGCGGCGCGGCGAGCTGGCGGCGGTGGTGGGCGCGCACCCGGCGCTGCGGAGCGCTTCTCGCTCCCCGCACCTCTGCGCCCTGCTCTGCCAGCTGTGGAGAGACCCCCGAGTGGGGGAACGCGGTCCTCCCAGCCTCACGAAGGTGTTCGCGCACCTCTTCGGCGCGCTCGGCCTCGGCGGCCGCGGCGGGGACGAGGTGATGGAGATGGCGCGGGCCGCGTGGAGCGGGGGGTCGCTGACGGCTTGCGGCCGCTGCGGCTCCGAGGGGGTCCTCACCCCGCTCCCGCCTCCTCTCCGCGGGGTTCTGCGCCAGTTCCTGGTGGCTCTTCACGCGGTGGCGCACGGGGCCCGTGGAGACCTTCAGGCGGTCCTGGAGGCGGCGTTGGAGCGGCCCCTGGGACCGCGCTGGGAGAGAGAGGAGCGCAGGAATCGGAGCGACGGCAGTAGTAGTAGCAGCAGTAGCAGCAGTAGCAGCAGCAGTAGCAGCAGTAGCAGCAAGCGAAGTAGCAGCAGTTTTAGCGAGAGCGGTGATGTTCGTGCCAGTGGCAACCTCACGGAGCTGTTCGTGTTTGGGCTGTTCTCGCCCCAACTTCGCCCTTTCCTGCGAGGCGTGGGATTGGAAAAGCTGGGGAATGGAGACGTGGGGTGGGGAGATCTGGGTTGGGGGGACTTGGGATTGGGAGAACTTGGCATGCGTGAGACGGGACTTGGAAACAAAGGGGAGGGAGACGCGAAAGTGGACATCCACGCACGACCTCTGAGCGGCTCTTGCTTTGCGGACGAAGACCTTTGCAGTGACACTGACCCTGCCCCTGATGAGGATGCCGATGAGGAGTACAAGGGTGACGACGATGATTCTAGCAGCGATACTGCTGCCGAGAAAGATGAAGATGGCACGGACTGCCGCGGCGGCGTGATTGCCGCTGCCGATGATGTTCACGACGACGACTACGACTATGACGACGACGACGACGACAGTGACGTGCAAGAGGGGGTCCGGGGGATGCTGTGGGGGTGGCTGTCCCGTCGCTGGCTGCACGGGGGCTCTCCGGGCGGAGCGGGGGCGGCTGGCGCCGTGTGGGCCGCGCGCTGCGCCAGGGAGCTCGGCTGCCCGCGCCTCACGCGGCGCCTCGTGGCGTCTCTCGGCGGCGGTCTCGACGTGGCAGGGCTGGCGCTGAGCGCGGACGAGTGCTGGGCGCTGTCCGCCGCCGCCCTGCACGCCAGGGAACCCTGCGGCCTCCAGCTCCGCGACTGCCGCGTGGGACCCGGCGGGGCGCAGGCGCTGGCAGCCGGCGTGGCGATGATCCACAGCCTCGAGTGAGGCCCGTGTCGCGTCTCTCTGTCTCCGTGTCTCTCTCCCGTGGTCTTGACTCTAGATCCGTGCGGCACGCTTGTCTCCGGCTCGTGTCTGTCTCTCCTTCCCGTGTCGCCTTCGCCCGCATCCGTCTCCCTCGGGTTTCCAGTCTATGCGCTTTGAATTTACGCGCTCTGTGCCATCTCTTTCCATCTCCCTGTCCCGTGGCCTCGTGACTGTCTTCACACCGTCTGTGCCGTTTGTCGCATTGCCTCGGTATCCCCAATGTATCAGTGTCACCCTCGCATGTCTGGGTCGCGTCTGGGCCGTCGCTTGGCCAGTATGTCACGGTGGTGCCACCCGTGCCTTGAAGGATGTCGCGGTGGTGCCACCCGTGCCTTGGAGGATGCCACGGTGGTGCCACCCGTGCCTTGGAGGATGCCACGGTGGTGCCACCCGTGCCTTGGAGGATGCCACGGTGGTGCCACCCGTGCCTTGGAGGATGTCACGGTGCTGCCACCCGTGCCTTGGAAGATGTCGCGGTGGTGCCACCCGTGCCTTGTAGGATGTCACGGTGATGCCACCCGTGCCTTGGAAGATGTCGCGGTGGTGCCACCCGTGCCTTGTAGGATGTCACGGTGGTGCCACCCGTGCCTTGGAAGATGCCACGGTGGTGCCACCCGTGCCTTGTGGCCGCGTGGAGAGCGACGCGCTCACGTCCGCGCTGCTGCGGCCCCCACCCCCCCCCCCCCCGTGTTTGTCGTCAGGATGTTTGGGAACGGGATCCGGGACGAAGGGGCGAGGTGTCTCGCTCGGGCGCTGAGGGGCCAATCTGCCTTGCGAGTCCTCGAGTAAGTCCACCACCACCGCCGCCGCCACCGCCGCACACCACAAACAACCACCAACGCAACAACCGCCACCGTGCCAACCGGAGAGAGCACAACCAACCGCAACATCACAACCACTCAATACATACGCAGCCGTTCAGTCACCACCACAGTCCACATACTATACATGCAAGCACACTGACTCATACAAAGATCACCCGTATAGCCTTGGCAGACTCTTGGGGCAAGTGCTGTTAGCGAGCACCTATGAAGGCCGGGACGGCACACGAGGGGGTGGGTGGCCAGCACCACGCTCGGCCGCCTTTGTCTCCCCAGTGGCGATGTGCACGCACCGCACCAGGCACCCATTTGAGGCTGAGTCAACCCAGGGGGAAGAGGCCCAGGAGCGGTTCTCATAATTGCCGCTGGTGTTGGCCGTGAGCAGCGGGAATGGCTCCCCCAACAGACGGACTTTAATCGTCTGCACTATAGCCACGGGAGCACGGCCACCACCAAACATCAGGGCCATCGGCAAAATAATCATCCGTGACAAGTCACGACAAGTACGATCACCCCCCCCCCCCCCACCGTCTCCAGCCTGGGCTGGAACTTCATCACGGACGTGGGCGCCCAGCACCTGGCGGAAGCCCTGGAGAGGAACTCAACACTCGCCTGTCTCAAGTGCGTCTCACCTTCTACTCGACACACAGTGGTTACACTGTGTGTTTACATATACACTGTGTGTTTACATATACACTGTGTGTTCACATATACAAAGACAAACACACACATACACGCCACGAGAGAGAGAAGCCCCATGTAGCCTGCACAGGTTGTTGGGGCAAGTGTTGTTAACAGAGCACCGTTTAAAACGGGACGCACGCACGGAATTTGATCGCGTAAAGTGTCGAAGGCTCTCGCCGCTGGACGGTGGACACGGGACGGAGCCAGGGAGCGCCACGGGTTGCCCGCCAGGCGATTTGGGGACGCTCCGCCGATATCTCAACGTGGACACGCGCGCCCCCCCTCGTTCGTTGTTAGCATCGCTGCTCTGCCCTCCGTTAGCGGCGCATCCACGGGGCAATGCCCAACCATGCCCCCCACTCAATGCCCAACCATGCCCCCCCACTCACTCCCTTGCCCCAGGCTCTGGAAAAACTGCATCAAGGACGCGGGTGTGGAGCGCCTGGTCGATGCCCTGGGCTCGAATCGCAGCTTGCAGGAGCTGAAGTGAGTGCGATCCCCCCCGCCCCCCCTCCTCACACAATCACAAAGGTCCCCCGTGTAGCCTGTAACAGGCTGTTGGGGCAAGTGCTGTTAACGAATAGCACCTACCTATGAATGCCGTCACGGCGCACGAGGGGGTGGGTGGCCAGCACCACGCCCGACCGCCTTTGTCTCCCCAGTGACGATGTTTACTGCACACCGCACCAGGTACCCGTATAGAAGGCCGAGTCGACCTAGCAGAGTCCCATCACCGATAGTGAGCCGTGAGCGGGAGTCGAACTTTGGTCGCCGGGTTCATAGCGCGATGCTGTGACCACTGCCCCGCCCGCGGCTCTCTCCGCAGCCTCTACGGCAATGACCACGGACCCGCTGGCCGCAGCAAACTCGACGATCTGGCGGCACGAAGGGCCGAGGTGACCCTCTTCTACTGAGCCGACCCCGGGCCCTCCCAAGGCCACATCGCGTCCAGCCGAAGACCGAGGAACTCGTGGTCAATCCACTGCTGGATGAAGCTCCCCCCCCACCTCGCGTCCCTCCCCCCCGTCCCTCCCTCCCCACTTCGAGCGGGTAGCAAGGGTAATTTTTACCATACTTCAGTGCGGGTTTAAAGGCGGTGTACCACGACACGTTACGGCACTGCATTTTGACATAGCTTGGCCGCAGCCTATAGCACCTGCTTCGCACGGCGGTCAGCCATATCGCTTTAGTAACCAGGCCCAAGCTTGCTTAGCTTGCGAGATGCCACGAGCGCTGGCGATTCGGCCTGGTGCGTTGCAGGAACGTCACCCACGGGTCGGTTTTCGTTCGATCGCTTTTCTTCCCCCAAACGAACGTTTACTCGATTTTAACGGCCGCGGCGATGCTAAACAAATAACAAGGCGCAGCGTCGGCGGCGTTGTGGGTTTTGGGTGGCGCCGCGGAGAGACGGAGCGGATTCACGCCCGGAGCCGACCCGCCTCCTGATCCCGCAACAGCGCTCCAAACGTAAATCCGTCCGGCGCACATCCCTCGCGATTCTTTCCGCCAACTTTTGTTTCCATTCAACATGCTCGTCTCTGCCGTAGCATCTCGTCCGAAGCGTTCCTTCATTTATCTCGTCGTGCCACCAATTGTGTACAGCTGCTGGGCGCACAGCGCAATCTGCAGCCCCGTTCGCACGACCGCGAATCTCCTACGATTCGGTGCAGCGGTGGCTGGGAGATGTTAACTCCCTCGCCTGGTATACAGGAGGTCTTGGGTTCGATCCCGACCCTGACGCCTGCTGTGTATTTGGAGTGTGCGTGTCTCTCATCACCGTCACGGTGGCTAGGAGATGTTAACTCCCTCGCCTGGTATGCAGGAGGTCTTGGGTTCGATCCCGACCCTGACGCCTGCTGTGTATTTGGAGTTTGCATGTTCTGTGGTCGCGTGGATTGAGATGGGTCCTCTAGTTTTTTTAGAAACATGCGTTTAAGGGTATGTGACTGCGATACATTTCCACAAGCCACTTCTTTGAGCTGTCATTTGTAGAAAGGTCGCTTCTGAACACGCGCTAATGAAGCTCTGCAGCCCTGACCTGGTAAAAGAACATCTTAGAAACACACTGCGGCCATGTTAGACGAGCAGACCCCGCCGCACACACACACCACGTGCTAGTGGTGTCGTGTTCCACTCACGCGGCACTGGGGGGGCAGCAGCAGCAGGGCTCGACGCGAGGCGGCGCCTCCCATGGCCGGGTGGTGGCGCTGCAGCCACGCACGTGGCGCCCCATCCAGCGCTGGAGGGGGTGGGGGCAGCTGCGGCGAGGGTTGGTGGATCACCGCACATGCTGAGATTACCTTCACGTGGGACGTCGAGGTGTCATTAGGCCCCTGGTTAGCCAAAGACGACGGTGCAGCGAAAGTGCAGACGCCACCTGCCCCGTCTGTAAATGGGATTACGCTTTTGTTTTTAAATCCAGGTGCTTATTTAAAAAAAAACACGTCAATGTCGGAAATTAAAGAAACCCTGATGACAATCTTAATATAATTATAGGACTGCAGAGCTTTGGGCAGTTTGTAGTTGCTTCCTTCAAACTTGTCCGTGTTGCTCCGGTCGTTGACACATCCGGCTTCATTGCTGGCGACGTGAACACCAAACAACACCAAACAACACACACAGTAAACAACACAGTAAACACCAAATAACACACACAGTATACACCACACACAGTAAACACCAAACAACACAATAAACACCACAGTAAACACCACACACGTAAACACCACAGTAAACACCACAGTGAACACCAAACACCAAACAACACCAAACACCACAATAAACACCACACAACACCACACAATATACACCACACACAGTAAACACCACACACAGTAAACACCACAGTAAACACCACAGTAGACACCACACGTAAACACAGCACAGTAAACACCACAGTAAACACCACACAGTAGACACTACAGTAAACACCACAGTAAACACCACAGTAACACCACACACAGTAAACACCAAACACCACAGTAAACACCACAGTAAACACCACACAGTAGACACTACAGTAAACACCACAGTAAACACCACAGTAAACACCACACACGGTAAACACCAAACACCACAGTAAACACCACAGTATACACCACACACGTAAACACCACAGTAAACACCACACAGTAAACACCAAACACCACAGTAAACACCACACGTAAATACCACAGTAAACACCACACACAGTAAACACCACAGTGAACACCACAGTAAACACCACAGTTATCACCACAGTAAACACCACACACAGTAGACACCACAGTAAACACCACACGTAGACACCACAGTAAACACCACAGTAAACACCACACACAGTAAACACCACAGTAGACACCACAGTAGACACCACAGTAAACACCACACGTAAACACCACACGTTTTAGTTGGAACGAAGAATCGTATCTTAAAACATATTTTTTTGCTGAAGGATCTGGTATGAGCCCTGCACGAGGTCCAACTTCAAAAGGCAAGGGGCAAAGCCTCTGCGGCAGGGCAATGTAAAGCCCGTGTCTGTGCGGGTGGCGGGCAGCAGTGCGCACCAGGGGCCTTGTCTGGGATCGTCACGCGGCAGAGGTCCGCAGCACCGCGACAGACTCCGGTCCGAGTGGGGCTGGAGGAGGAACCGCTCACGGGCAGACACCAAGCAAATAGCATCGCACGAGTAACGGTATTGGACGCCGCTCAACGCTACCATTGTTACATTAATCAGTACGTACAATGCAGTGGTAACGCGTGCCACACAAGAAGCGTTACGACCACTTCCACATGCCGACGATCATACCGCGTGCTCTGGGTCCTGCCAGGCGAGTCTTAGACTCTGCCCGTACCCCAAGCACGGACATCGCCGCATTAAAACGCAGCTCGCGTTGAGCACTTCTGCTCAACCCGAGCCAGCAAATGTTTCTAAATTTGAATACTTTGCGCCTTAGTGCTGTTCGCCTCCTGGCGTCCTCTGGTCTAACACCGGTGGAGAGACAAAGCCATAAATCGAAGGCCGTTTCCGCTGCAGGCCAATAAAAGTCTCAAGGACAACGCTTACATTTTCTTAGCTCTTTCGGTAAAGTCACGTTGAAGGGAAACAATAAAATAATAAAATGTATATAAAACAATAAAAATTCTCACGACGTTTCGACCATAACACAAACGGTCGTCATCAGGTGTGTCGGTTTGCATTTATTTATTTATTTTCAAACGGTGTATTTATTTATAAAAACCGTCAGCGCCACGCGCAGCGATTTGGCAGTTTATTTAGAAGGACTAGTCCATCTATGTTCTGAAAAGAGGAGGAGGGAGACGAAAAAATTAATGTATGCTGTCTGAAAGCCACTGTAAGCGTGAACAATCAATTAAGACCTGAAATGGTTTATCAAATCTTTCCAATGATTGCTAAGCCAGAATCCATCTTCTCGGTTGAAATTGTCTCTGTTCTTGTATATGTGGATAGCTTCATGAACGAATCTCTCATGGTAGCCAGATGGCTTACAAAGAACCTCTGTCTTGGAAAAGTCAATGTCATGTGAGCCTGCTGAATTATAACAATGATCTGCCACGGCCGAGGTGTTGGTCCTACCGTGTTTAAGGTCTGCTTTGTGTTCACGAATGCGGTCCGAGACATGGCGTTTGGTTTCTCCAATGTAACTACTACCACAGAGGCAACTTAGTTTGTAGACACCAGGGTACTGTATGTCCGGAATCACATCTTTTACAGACGGAACCAGATCACGGATTTTACGTAATGTGTTGAAACGCTACCATGAGAGATTCGTTCATGAGGCTATCCACATATACAAGCACAGAGACAATTTCAACCGAGAAGATGGATTCTGGCTTAGCAATCATTGGAAAGATTTGATAAACCATTTCAGGTCTTAATTGATTGTTCACGCTTACAGTGGCTTTCGGACAGCATACATTAATTTTTCGTCTCCCCCCTCCTCTTTTCAGAACATAGATGGACTCGTCCTTCTAAATAAACTGCCAAATCGCTGCGCGTGGCGCTGACGTTTTTATAAATAAATACACCGTTTAAAAATAAATAAATTTATGCAAACCGACACACCTGATGACGACCGTTTGTGTTATGGTCGAAACGTCGTGAAAATGTTTTTGTTTTATATATATTTTATTATTTTATTGTTTCCCTTCAATGTGACTTTACCGAAAGAGCTAAGAATATGAATTACTGCAGTCACGAAAGCTTTAAATCAAAATTTAACGCTTACATTGTCTAAGCACGTGTGTCTTGCTTATTTGGCCACGAGTGCCAATGCAATGGGTGTCCATTTGATGTTTTATCCGAAACACCTCCTCCTGTATTATTGCCGCGAAGGCCATGCCCTTTCAAAAACAGTCACCATGAAAAACAACGCATCGAACAAGTTTGTGGGGGTTATCGATTTAGCGGAGACATTGTAAGATATATTGTACACAACACATTACGTTCAAATTGAGTGCCTTCGATGGTGCGTGTGGTGCATGCCAGGCGTTTAATCCCTGCCCTTGGGTGGTATCCAAATCTGTAAATATTCTAGAGGGCGGAATCCTGGAGTTGAGCCACTACAGACCGGTTCTTTAAGAGCCGTCGTATCGCTCAAAGGGCTTCCCCGAGTCAAGGAAAGGACACGGACACCATGCAGCAAGGTGACCGTCAGAGCAATTAAAAACCAAATGATTCGTTGTTCAGACCATCGTTGAACCACCACCCAACAGCAAAAACAAACCGGGAGAAACCTTGAACTTCAGTGCACGTTAAAGACCAGAACACGAGCGCAAGGCATGACAGTGGACATTCGCAGGGGTGGGGTTCTCTAGGCCCTACAGGTGGGGGTCCCAGATGGTGCCCGTGCACCCAGCGCTGTGCCAGGCTATTGGGAGTCCCAATGGAAAGGCGGTCACGGACTGCGGTTTAGTGAACTCTGGAACTGTGCGCCAGATGGGGCTTTTGCAAAGTGGGGTTACTGGACAGGTTTCCCTCCACTACCGAGGCGCCGCCACACGGCTGCTGCTGCTGCCATCGAGACCTCTTTGTGACGTCATGCAGGCAGCGCGCACGGGCAGAGGGCCTCGTCACCACGACGAGGTGCACACCGCTCCACCGTGGCTACCTGGTGCCTGCAGGTCTAGGGGGTGAACCTCTCGCGGGCTCCCTGCCTGGTGCCGGCAGGTCTAGGGGGTGAACCTCTCGCGGGCTCCCTGCCTGGTGCCGGCAGGTCTAGGGGGTGAACATCCCGCGGGCTCCCTGCCTGGTGCCGGCAGGTCTAGGGGGTGAACCTCTCGCGGGCTCCCTGCCTGGTGCCGGCAGGTCTAGGGAGTGAACATCCCGCGGGCTCCCTGCCTGGTGCCGGCAGGTCTAGGGGGCGATGCTAGGGGAGGAGGGGCCGCGACGCGCGCGCCACCGCCCGCACTCGACCGGAGTGACGCACTCCCTCCGCGTGTCCATCACGCAACACGCATCGGCGCACCCACAATGCACCGCGCTACACGAACCACGTGATCACAGCACGTAGTCAAGTGCGAGCAGAGACGCACGTGGTGTTCCATGGTGCACGCAGCTCGATGGTGCTGGGCCCAGAAGCTGCCAGTATCCACCGCGTGGTCACGAGTACCACGCGATCCCGTCAACTCGCCGACACCGCCCCTGTTCACGAACCACGCGGTGTGCCCCATCTCACGCGCACGTGAACGGTGAAGTATGGCAGCGGTGAAGGAGAAGGGGGGGAGAATCATCGAGCCTGTGCGAGCTGCCACGCCCCCCCCCCTGCTCCGTCCCCCCCTCGACCCCCCCCCCCCCCCCCCATGAGATAATCGGAGATTAGAGATAATTGGTGTTGGGCCGGTGCGCACGTGGTGGCAATGGAACAATGGATGGTCACGTGCCGCGCACGCGCCGCGACTGTGCGAATTGATTTACTGAAAGGCGAGGATGACTACGCGATGGTTGTGATGATTTATTAGAGTTGCTGGATCACACCCAAATGTTGTGAAGCTGCCTTCCCGTGGGCGGCGAGGAGGAGCCGCATCCAGGCGCATCTGTCCATTCGGTATGGGGTAGAGCTGCGTTCTTCACTCATTTTCAAAGGAGGAGGAGGGGAGGGGGGGGGCACCGTCGCCGATAAGACATCATCAGTGTGAGGGCAGCCACACATTTGAAACCATCGGGGGTTTGACAGCAGCACGATGACGACGATGGCGATTATGCGGTTGTGTTTTCACCATTCGTGTATTGTCAGGGACCGCACCAAGGGCCCAGGAGCCGCCAGTAGCCACGGGCCTTGCAGTAAAGAACGCAGGGATTGAGTGCTGCCCCATCGCACGCGTGGGTCACTTCCCACGTGGATAAACTCATGAATTGCCTGAATACATGAACATATATAGAGGGCTGCAGATCTTGGGAGTGGGAACTTGATGCCTTCCCACTCATCCGTGAGTTCTCTCTCCCAAGAGCGGTGGCGGTGCCCCGCAAGTTGGCGTCTTTGCGCTCCCGCTCACTGGCCCAGGAAAGCCTCGCCAGTCTCGAGACACTTTTTTTTCCAGGAGGGTCCTGGGCATAGGCGGAGTTTGACTTCGATATTTGGTGGTGTGAGGGGTGGTGGGGGCAGGAGGTTCGCCGTGTCCCTCACATTCGGAATCGCGGGTGCATATAATTATTTTTTCCAATCTTCATCGTAAACTACTGAAAATAAATCAATGAAGGTGTCCAGTTTAGCAGTCGGGGGTCGATGCTGCAGCTGCTGCCGTGTTGATCCCAATGGAGTCATTTGCCGGGTTTTTTTTTTACAATTGGGATATTTTGTCCAATACCATTCAGATTGTGTCGGGATTTTTGTTTTAGTTCTGGAAGGAACCCCATGCAGAACGGGGGGAGAGAATACAAACTACAGTCCCGACTTAAACATCTCCCCGTACATCCTGAACAGACGATTGGGGCAAGCTCTGCGAGCGAGCGCTTTGCCACGATGGCACAGGAGGAAGTGGGTGGCCAACACCGCGCCTGACCACCTTTGTCTCCCTAGTGGAGATGGTTGCACACCGCACAAGGTTCTCCCCTTTGAGGCTGAGCCCACCTGGGGGGGGTGGGGCAGGACTGGGTCAGATATAATCGTTACTGGTGTTGGCGATGAGCGGGAATCAAACTCGGGTCGCCGAGTCCGTAGCGCTGCGCGCGAATCGCTGCACTACCGCTCCCCACTCTTACACACACCCTCACTCACACCCTCGCTCACTCACACCCTCGCTCACCCACACACTCGCTCACTCACACCCTCACTAACCCACACTCGCTCACTCACACCCTCACTAACCCACACTCACTCCCTCACACCCTCGCTCACCCACACACTCACTCATCCACTCACCCACACACTCACTCATCCACTCACCCACACACTCACACCCACACCCTCATTCACCCTGCACAACAGGGCAACAACACACAACCCCCAGGCAGAAAAGGCGGCCTAGTCGGGAATCGACCCCAGGAGGCGCTTCCTGCTGCGCTGCCCCAGCGGCCCTGCGGCCCATCCCATCCCATGCACGAGCCCAGGCAGTGCGACACAAGAAGAAGAAGAAGACACGAAGCCGGTGTGTGTGTTGGTTCTATACACCTAGGAGATATTTACTTCGACACGGGCACACACACACACGTCATCTTTGTAAACACTGGCACAATAATTACACGGATCTCGTATTTACAATCGGGTTTTCGTGCCTCTCTCGCGACACAAGCGCACTCTACGCGGGGGGGGGGGGGGGGGGGGGGGGTTATGCCATCAACAAGCCAGCGCGTCACGTTCACGAGTTACACGCCGCACGCGCCCGATGATCGTTAAACTACCTGCCCACGTGCAGCACGGAGCTCCGTTTCTAATTGAGGTTTAGTTGTGTGTATACGTGGGTGTTCAGAGTGACATATATAGATATTTTTAAAAATAAAGTGTTAATGTTATTCTGTTGTAGGTGTGTTTGTGGGTGCAGTCATCGTTAGAATTCGTGTGCCCGTGCGTGCCAGCTTTCATTGGATGCTCGCTAACAGCACTTGACCCAGCAGGTCAGTGAAGGCTATACGGTGGATCTTTGTCTTTGGCGCGCGGTGTCATCGCGCTCTTGGCTTGAACACGCGCACCTCGCTCACATCTCACACGTGGGACGCGTTTAATCATCATCGGGCGCGTGCAGCTCTTCCACACTTTTTTTTACACTTTTAAACGGAGAGCCGGTAAACACTGAAGAGGCGGACGCGAGGTGGGGGTTGGCGAGGGCTGGGAACTATCCTTGGACGTGACCACACTGTTGCACACGGGATGGACCACACTCAGCGTGCGCCACAAAGACCCTCCTGTGCGGGGGCAAGAAGTGGTCTTAGCGAGTACTTGTTAAGGCCGGAACGGCACATGAGGGGGTGGGGGGCCATCACCGTGCCCGACCGCCTTTGTCTCCCCAGTGCTTATATTTACACATCAGGTACTCATTTAAGGCCGAGTTGACCTATGGGAGGCCCAGGACCGGTTCAGATAATCGCCACTGCTGTTTGCCGTGAGCGGGAAACGAACTGGAGTCGCCCGGGTTCTGTAGTGCAGCGTGCTAACCGTTGCACCACCACTCCCCAGACATGTGCCACGTGGCACACACAACAACACCACGTGGCACACACAACAACGTGGCACAAACACAACATACCAACCACCACGAAGACGACCGACCACACGTGCGACGGGGGTCAGGGTACGGGGGTCAGGGTACGGGGGTCAGGGTACGGGGGTCAGGGTACGGGGGTCTCGAGCGGGAGACGCTGCCGCTGTGCAAGAGAGAAGGGGGGGGGGCGCTATCAGACCTCGTGCCACCGCATGGGCTCGGGATGGAGGCAAACAGAGCACCAATGTCTCCTCTCTCACTCGACAAGGAGAATTGGCATCTCTATGGGGACACGACGGTGTAGGCCGAGGAGGTATGGTAGGGCCATTGACGAGGCGGCCTTTCGCTTGGCACTCGAAACACGTGGGGAGGGGGGGGGTTCGACACCGCCCCCTCAGCTAGGGTTACAATCCGCACCTCCTTCCAAGCAACCAATGACGTGGGAGTTAGTCGACGTTGGGCACGTGGTCGCAATGGAGCTCTATGACAGCGTGTGCTGCGATTGGCAGGTGGGTTAGACCTTTCCACAGACACAAAGACAAAGGTCCCCCCGACAGCCTTAACAGACTGTTGGGGGCAAGTGCTGTTAGCGAGCACCTATGGAGGCCGGCACGGCACACGAGGGGGTGGGTGGCCAGCACCACGCTCGGCCGCCTTTGTCTCCCCGGTGGCGATGTTTACACACCGCATCGGGTACTCATTTGAGGCCGAGTGGACCTAGGGGGAGGCCCAGGACCGGTTCAAATAATCGTCACCGGTGTTGGTGGCCGTGAGCACGAATCAAACTCGGGTTCGCCGGGTTCGTAGCGCGGCGCTAACCGCCGCGCTACAGAGACACACGCAAACATGCGTACAAAGACATCAATGTGCCGACTATTGAACCACGTGAGCAAAGGGATACAAGACGGACAGGGAGGGACCGAGACGGACGGGCGTTGCCACGCGACGAGCGGCAACAACCACGAAGCTGTGCAAATCGCGAGGGGCGGCGTCCGGGAATGGGACTAGACTCCGAGGTATACGGGGGGTGTGGTGGTGAACCACTTCGCACTCTCAGTCTTATTCAAGTTTTTAAATCATTTTAACAATAGTTATTATTCATATTATATTCTCTCTTTATTTTTTTATCCCGTCCTTAATTCATTTAAGCTACTTAAAAATAAATCCTTTAAAATCCGGCGTTTTTTTGTTTTGTCGTTCGGTCGTTTTTGTTAGACACGCTCCGCTTCATCATGAACCACACCTTGAACTGACGTTGAACCGACGTTAAAAAGAACAAAACGTACCGACATTCAAACTTGGGTCCGTGTCTGCGATAAATAGCGGCGACGGGGGTTAGTACGTACAAAACGCAAACGGCAAATAAGTTACGAGCAACGGCTATTTACACGTTTACACGAGCGTGCTATGTACAGGGTACAGGGAGATGGAGCCACTCCCGTGTCTGGCAGGGGGGCACCCAGGTAAGGGATGGGGTGGGATTTATAGCCTCCCCCCCCAAATGAACTCGACCCACCCCGGCTCAGCTCGTTACAATAAAAACCACGCGACTCGGTGACAAGCAAAGTCCGCGTAGTCGCGACGTCGCGAGCCGACCCGTCGACGAGGGCTCGCGCCCCCTCCCCCCGGACCCCCACCCGGACAACGAGGCCCAGGCCTGGGCCCTGCGTGGAGGCGGGAGGGGGTGGGGAGGGGGGGGGGGGTGGCGGCACCTCTCCGGCATCGGGGCGGAGGCGACGGCCGCGGGGGCGCTGCCTCGGAGTCGCGGAAAAGTGTGGGGGTGGGGGTGGTGGTGGTGGTGGTGGTGGGGCCCGCGGGGGTGGGTGGGCGACAAGGAGCCTCACACCCGCGAGTCCCCGTTGCCCTCGCTGAGATGGTTGAGCTCGTCGGTGGGCGCCGCCTTGGCGCCGCCGCCGGCCTTGTCGCGGAATCCCGACGCGATGTCGTCGAAGGTGCGGCCCTTCGTCTCGGGCACTTTGAAGTAGGTGAAGACGAAGAAGAAGACGAGGAAGCAGGTGAACACCACGAACACGTAGCTCCCCAGCAGCTCCTGCGGGGGCAGGCAGAGCGAGGGAGACGGGGGCCGTCGTCACCACGCACACGACCACCGGCACGGCACCGTGGGATAAAACCCCCAGCGACCTGCCACTCCTCTCCTCGGGGTCAAGCCTGCGGTGGGCACCACTCGACCCGCCGAGACGAGGGGGCGTTCCTTGCGGTGGCCTGGTCTCGGTGCCGCTACGGGGGTGGAGGAGGGCCGCTCGTCTGGGGTGGCCGCCACCTGGCTACGGGCTGCCAACCCCCTCCCCCGAATGCGGGAAACCCACGACGAGCCGTGCCCGGCGCGACGGCGGCCGACGACGTCGCCGGGCTCCGCCCGCCACCTCCCGTCCAGCGGCACACTTGGGGGAAGAGAGGCGGGGGGGGGGGCGTCTTCCCCACGACCATTTCCACCTCATCAGATTACTCTCAACGTAACCCGATCGCTCTCACTCGTGGCTCTCCCCGCCGTTGCCCCCACCACCTCCATGCAACTCTTCCATCCCCACGGACCCCCCCTGCGCCACCCCCCACCCCCGCCCCCCCGCCCCCCTCGTCACGGCGCGTGGGCCCACCTGCACGTATGGGAAGCACATGGCCACGAGGAAGTTGGACGTCCAGTTTGAGAACCCGGCGACGGCGACGGCCGCGGGTCGCGGGCCCTGGCTGAAGAGCTCCGAGACGATGAACCAGGGGATGGGGCCCGGCCCGATCTCGAAGAACGCCACGAAGCCGAAGATGGCCACGATGCTCACGTAGTTCATCCACGACGCGCTCGCCTGATTGGTCGATCGGGGGTGGGGGAAGGGGGAGCACGGAGAAATCGGCGAGGAGCGGTCAGCCACGGTGTGCGTTTGTTTTCGTGACAAAACACTTGCCCGGCTGGATTACCCACAGTTCCGAGGCCTTGTTGCGGAGGCGCGGGCTGCACCATCGCTACCGACCCCCCCCCCACCCCTACCCCCCTCCACCTGGTGTGGTGCGTGGTGCTGTGCGTGGTGTGGTGCTGTGCGTTGTGTGGTGCTGTGCGTTGTGTGGTGCTGTGCGCTGTGTGGTGCTGTGCGCTGTGTGGTGCTGTGCGCTGTGTGGTGCTGTGCGTTGTGTGGTGCTGTGCGTTGTGCGGTGCAGTGCGTGGTGTGGTGCTGTGCGTTGTGTGGTGCTGTGCGTGGTGTGGTGCTGTGCGTTGTGTGTTGCTGTGCGTGGTGTGGTGCTGTGCGTGGTGTGGTGCTGTGTGTTGTGTGGTGCTGTACGTGGTGTGGTGCTGTGTGCTGTGTGGTGCTGTGTGTTGTGTGGTGCTGTGCGTGGTGTGTTGCTGTGTGTTGTGTGGTGCTGTACGTGGTGTGGTGCTGTACGTGGTGTGGTGCTGTGTGTTGTGTGGTGCTGTACGTGGTGTGGTGCTGTACGTGGTGTGGTGCTGTACGTGGTGTGGTGCTGTACGTGGTGTGGTGCTGTACGTGGTGTGGTGCTGTACGTGGTGTGGTGCTGTACGTGGTGTGGTGCTGTACGTGGTGTGGTGCTGTACGTGGTGTGGTGCTGTGTGTTGTGTGGTGCTGTGCGTTGTGTGGTGCTGTGTGTTGTGTGTTGCTGTGCGCGGTGCAAGACGACGGCTCCCTCACCTGCAGGACGAGCGACAACGTCATGGCGACGCTGCACGCGGCCATGCCGGCCAGGCCAACGAGGTGCAGCGAGCGACGGCCCGCACGCTCCACCAGGAACAGCTGAGCGACGCACGCACACACACGGAGACACAGACGGAGGGGGGGGGGAGGGACACGGTGTCAGAACCGTCGCAAGGGAACTCGCGCCGCCTCGTCGCTCACGCCGAGTGGGAGATGCAACCCCAACGATAAGCTGGGGGACAGAAACGACGCCAACACGCGGCCGTGCCCGGAGAGCACCGGGCTGGCGGTGCGCCACCCACCTCTGCTCGGCCTCTCTACGGCTCTAGGGCAACGCTTCCACCGGTTTGGGCTGGTTTTCAGGAGGGTCGGAGGTTGGGTCTTCCCAACAGGCACGACGAGACAGCGCTGTGCGCTGTCTCGTCGTGCCGGCTCCACGAGTTGCTGCGGGAGAGCCCCGTTACACCGCCTCGGCAGGTTCTACCGGCGGCTTAAATCTCCCGGCGAGCGCAGCTGGATTGTCGCTGGGCGAGTGTGGCTGGTGGTGGTGGTGGTGGTGCGGACTCACCGAGACCACGGTGAAGGCGACGTTGACGATGCCGGCGCCGATGGTGGCGTAGACCGGCTGCGACACGCCGGCATTCTTGAAGATGCCCGTCGAGTAGTAGAAGATCTGGGGGGGGGGGGGGGAGGGAAGGAACGCGTCAGCACCACCGTCAGCACCACCGTCACCATCATCGTCACCATAACCACCACCACCACCACAGAACACCGCCCAACATGACCACCATGGTTCCCACCGCCACCACCAACTGCCGCACCGCCACTCACCGCGTTGATGCCAGACAGTTGCTGCGAGAGCTGGAGCATGACGGCGACGATGATGGCCTGCCGGTAGTCGATGCTGCGGAAGAGGTCGGGGATCGCGACCTTGGGCACCAGCTCCATGCGCCGGTGCTCCTCGCGCATCTCACGCATGTCGTCGTTCACGTCCGTCGTGCCGCGCAGCTTCACCAGCGCTGCACGAGCCACACGCACGCGGCGTTAACGCGGCAACGAGCACGCACGCCACACACACGCGACAACCACGCCACACACACGCCACACACACGCCACGCACACGCCACGCACACGCCACGCACACGCCACGCACACGCCACGCACACGCCACGCACACGCCACGCACACGCGACAACCACGCCACGCACACGCGACAACCACGCCACGCACACGCGACAACCACGCGGCGCTAACGCCATGCGCACGCCACATGCACGTGAGCGAGCGAGGGCCCGGCCACCAAGCACCGTGAACTAAAGTCGCCACATTTCTGGTCGGCTCAACGAGGATAGATGGCGAGCTGCCAGTGCCTCCCTCCGTGAGCCTGATGCAGTGGCTGGTCAGACAGGCGAATAGGGGAGCGACTGGCCGGCGAGGAGTCGGACGACTGGGGGAGCGCGACTGGCCCGGCTGGCCGTGCCCGGGGTGCGCCGCCGCTCACCGTCGCGCGCCTCGTTCTCCTTCTGCTTGTTGATGAGCAGGAAGCGCGGGCTCTTGGGGCAGAAGAAGAGGGCGATCGCCTGCACCACGGCCGGCACCACCGTGAGGCCCAGCAGCAGCGGCCACTGCTGCGCCGTGCCCAGCAGAGATTCCAGACCCAGCACCTGCGGCGGAGGAGCGGGGAAGAGGGGGGGGGGCGGAGGAGGGGTCAGCGCTGCCGTACGTCGAGGTCGCGCGTCGGGTCAAAAGGTCGAGCCGGCGGTTTGGAGGTCGCGTCGCAGAGGCCGGATCACAACACCGAGACGGAACATCGCGGCACCGGATGGGGTCGCGGGGTCGCGGGGTCGCGGGGTCGGTGTCAGGGGGATGGAGTCGGGGAAACGGGGTCGTGGCGGGTTACCTGTGCCACCAGGATGCCGATGACGAGGCTGAGCTGGTGCAGGGTGCCCATGGCACCACGCAGGGACGTGGGAGAGATCTCCCCCACGTACATCGGCACAAAGCCCGACAAGAGGCCTGCGCGCGGGGACACACGCCGGGGAACACACGGGGGAGGGGCGGGGACATGGGGACGCACTCAGTACCGCTATTCCGACCCGCAGCCCGCACCGCGCATAGCCGGGGAGAGAAGGGAGAGAATCGACAACAATGCAGAGCGCCGCGTGTTGAGCGGAGAGCTGCCGTTCCGTGCGCACGGCAGCTCACGAGGGGGCGCTGCAGCTCCAATCCGTTTTGCTTAAGGAGTCGACTTTGAGTGGCCGTGCAAAGGGACCGCGAGACTGGATCTGTTGCGGCGCTCGCGACACGGGAACACGTGTGTCCCCCCCCCCCCGTGTCCCCCCGTGTCCCCCACGTCCCCCCGTGTCCCCCACGTCCCCCTGTTTCCCCCACGTCCCCTCGTGTCTCCCACGTCTCCCGTGTGTCCACCTGTGTCCCCTGTGCGTCTCCGCTCACCGCAGTGGACGCCGATGATGAACCTGCCGACGATGAGCAGCTCGAAGGAGCTGGCCAGCTTGGTGAACGCCATTAACACCCCGCCGATCACGGCCAGGATGTTGTTGACGAGCATCGAGTTCCTCCTGTGGGGGGGGGGGGGAACACAGAGAGAGGGGGGGGGGGGGGGGCCCGCGTCACACTCGCTGCCTGGAAATAACCGGCGTGGCGGCGAAGTCTCGCCGCGCCGCTCGCAGATGACGACGCGCGGTCGTCCACGCGCAGCACCCCTGAAGACTTCTGGGGCAAGTGCTGCCAGCGAGCGCCTAAGAAGGTCGGCATGGCATCACGAGGGAGTGGGTGGCCAGCACCACGCCCGGCCGCCTTTGTTTCCCGAGTGGCGATGTTTACACGCCGCACCGGGTACTCGTCAGAGGCCAAGTTGGCCTAGGGGAGCCCCAGGACCGGTTCGGATGATTGCCGTCGTTATCGGTCGCGAGTGGCAAATCGAATTGGTGGGGGGGTCGCCAGGTTCGTGGCGCAGCTCGCTGACCACTACACGACCGCTCCCCGTGAAAACACTCGCTCACACTCACGCTCGCACATGCTCATACACGCTCGCACACGTGTGCACACGCTCACACACACACACGCTCACCTGCCGAATCTGTTGACGAAGAGCCCCACGGAGAAGGCCCCAATCATGCCGCCGACAGTGAAGATGGCCACGGTGGACGACCACAGTGTAGTGAGCGTCGTCTTCTCAACGGCCTTGCCGTAGCGCGCGATCCAAGTCTCGTTAAAAAACTCCTGGATGATCTGCTTGCCGACACGGAGGGGGGAAGAGGGGATCACTCCTCGCACCATGGAAAGGTGGAATTTCCACCACGGACTCATAGCCCCTCCCCTCGCTCGAGACGCTCTCCGTTTATAGTGTCATTGTAACGCCGCTGCCGATGACAATGTTGCCGATGCCGACGGTGACGGTGGTTGCGCCGACTCGCCTGCTCGGGCGCGTTGATCACGCCGATGTTGTACCCGAACAAGAAGGAGCCCAGCACCGCCACGATCACGGAGAACACCAGCACAGGCGTCATTCGCGCCTACTCGCACACACAGGTGGGTGAGGGGCAGGGGTCATGGGGAGGGGGGGGGAGCAAGGGGACACGAGGACGTTAATTATATATAGCGACAGCTCGCACAGGGACCGACTCGCGAGCGTGCGGGAGCCAGCGCGGGGCCATCGTGGCGTGGGTTCGGGTGTTTTTTTTCCCCACTCCCAGTTTGCCGTGCCGTGCCGGAAACCGAACCGCGACACGCTGCTGGCCGCACAATTCAAACCCGGATCTGGGGAATCCGCTTTGGGGCCAAGCAGGGCCAGCGGCAGGGGGCTAACGAGACGTGGGCTGCGGGCGACGTCACTCCGTCTCCCTTCATTAGCGGGCGAGGGGTGTGGGTGGGTGGAGTGGCGAGCGGTGACGCAGCAGTTAGCGCGCTGCGCTACGAACCCGGCAACCAGAGTTCGATTCCCGCTGACGGCCAACAACGGTGACGATTATTTCCACCGGCCCAGGGGCCTCCCCTAGGTCGACTCGGCCACAAATTAGTACCTGGTATGGTGTGGAAACATCACCACTGGGGAGACATCGGTGGCCGGGCGCGGTGTTAGCCATCCACCACATTGTGTGCCGTGCAGGCCTTCATAAGTGCTCGCAAACAGCACTTTCCCCAAGTCTGTTAAGGCTTTACAGGGGATCTTTGTTTTTGGGCGGGCGTAGATGGCGGGGTGTCAGTGGGCAGCACAGCTGGTGCCCATCTGGGGGTCATCTCAAGGTCGGGTCAACCCATAACGCCTGCGGTCTGGCGCCGTGGCCTTTCCCGTCAGCCAGGGAGCCTATCCACATTTCGCACGGGCGGCCTCAAAGCGCACCTAGCCTGGCACAGGCGTTACTGGAGCCATCGACGTCACGTATCGGCGAATGGGGGGGGGGCTGTTGGAAGCGGAGGGCTGCGACTGCGATGTCGTTCGTCTACCGTCCCACGTGGAGCCTCGCCGCAACCCAGGGCAGCAGGAAGGTCCGGCCACGTCGGGACGGGTTTGGCCACGAATGCCATGGTAAGTCGAGTTCTGGGGGGCCCCGTGTGGACGGAGAACACAGGAGACACCCCAGCAGCGTGCACGCGAGGAGGCATCAACAGCGACACCATCAACCCACTTCGCCGTGCCGCCGCATCCTTGGCCACCTCGCGGCTCGCGCCTGCGTTAAGCAAGGCGCGCCACAGCCACAGGCGGCCGGCCGGCCGCTCACTCCGTGGCCACGCAGTGACGGCGCTCATCACAGGCAGGGCGCGGTGATGCGCTCACACGAACAAAGACGCCCCCTGTATAGCCTGAACAGACTGTTGGGGCAAGTGATGTTCACGTGTAGCAGCGCCTATGAAGGCCGGCACGGCACACAAGAGGGTGGGTGGCCAGCACCACGCCCGGCCGCCTTTGTCTCCCCAGTGGCGATTTTTACACACCGTACCAGGTACTCCGCATGCATGCACGCGCAGACAGATAAGTATGCTCACACGTACACCACAGGGCGCATACGTTCATTCACACGCTGACAATTTAGCCCACGTACTCACACTCACACATGCACGCATGCGCACGTGAGTGAGCGTGCGTGCGTGCAGCAGCTGCGATGCGCAAATTCGTTTAACCTTGAAGAGACAGCCGGAAACGGAGCCCGACTGCTGCTGCAATTCCACTCACACCAACACGAGACCCTCAGACCAACCCAAACCTCCTCCTCCTCCTGCAGCCCTTGGCCACTCCACTGCTAGACGCATGGATGAAGGCCTGCCTCGCTCTCCCTCCCCACGGCTCGCGCCGCCGGCTTCACCTCGCCACTGGCCGCGTGCGGGAGGCAGCGGCGTAAGGAGCGTGGGGGCCGGGAGGGGGTGCCTAGCACCCCCCTGGTAGCCAGAGCTACGAGTTGGGGAGGCCCCCTTGGCGACCAACACGGGGTATGTCTTTAACAACAGGTGTCAAAGAACATAAACATTCTTTTGTGAAAGACGGAGCCGCCCCTGCGGCGTTAAACGTTCGAGACCGTGAGCAGAACGACGATGCCACGAGGGCAATGGGAACCTCGATGTAGAATCGCCTGGGTGCGACGTGCGAGACAAATCGAATATTGGTGCCCTATCTGACCGACTGCCGTACCCACGCCACTGATAATGTAGTTACTACGCCACTGATGTCGTGACTACGCCACTGATAATGTAGTGACTACGCCACTGATAATGTAGTTACTACACCACTGATAATGTAGTTACTACGTCACTGATAATGTAGTTACTACGCCACTGATAATGTAGTTACTACGCCACTGATAATGTAGTTACTACGCCACTGATAATGTAGTTACTACGCCACTGATAATGTAGTTACTATGCCACTGATAATGTCGTGACTATGCCACTGATAATGTAGTTACTATGCCACTGATAATGTCGTGACTACGCCACTGATAATGTCGTTACTACACCACTGATAATGTAGTTACTACACCACTGATAATGTAGTTACTACGCCACTGATAATGTAGTCACTACACCACTGAAAATGTAGTCACTACACCACTTATAATGTAGTTATTACATCACTGATAATGTAGTCACTACACCACTGATAATGTAGTCACTACGCCACTGATAATGTAGTTACCACGCTACTGATATTGTCATGACTACGCCACTGATAAATAATGTAGCGACTACGCCACTGAGGGGGTCAAGCATCCAGGAGGGCCGTGAGCTCGCCACCGGTGACCCCGGTTCGTGGCGCAGTGCGCTGACCGCTGCGCCACCGGCTTCACGGCAACGCGGAGCTGTCGAATAGTCTTGGGGTCCGATAGCCCGGATACACCGGGTCCCTCTCTCGAGAACTACGAGCATCGCGTCGAGCCAGGGGCAGGCAGGGGAGCGTGGCATGGACGCGGGACGCACAACGTGGGGGGCGCGGTGTGGGGGGCACGGTGTGGGGGGCGCGGTGTGGGGGGCGCGGTGTGGGGGGCGCGGTGTGGGGGGCGCGGTGTGGGGGGCGCGGTGTGAGCGTCTGTGGTGGTTCAGGAGCTCGATGCCAATGTCGAGGGCTTGAGTAGAGAGAGAGTTGGTGTCGTGTCGCTGTTCCTGCTCCTCCGCTGAAGGAGCGCACACCACGGTGGGTTCACTGCGCGGTCCGTAGTGTGGGTTGCATCTGTACGAGTATCTATGTGTCTCTGTGTAGCACTGTGTCATCTGTACGAGTATCTATGTATCTCTGTGTACCACTGTGTCATCTGTACGAGTATCTATGTATTTCTGTGTACCACTGTGTCATCTGTACGAGTATCTATGTATTTCTGTGTACCACTGTGTCATCTGTACGAGTATCTATGTATTTCTGTGTACCACTGTGTCATCTGTACGAGTATCTATGTATCTCTGTGTACCACTGTGTCATCTGTACGAGTATCTATGTATCTGTGTGTACCACTGTCATCTGTACGAGTATCTATGTATCTCTGTGTACCACTGCCATCTGTACGAGTATCTATGTATCTCTGTGTACCACTGTGTCATCTGTACGAGTATCTATGTATCTCTGTGTACCACTGTGTCATCTGTACGAGTATCTACGTATCTCTGTGTACCACTGTGTCATCTGTACGAGTATCTATGTATCTCTGTGTACCACTGTGTCATCTGTACGAGTATCTATGTATCTCTGTGTGCCACTGTGTCATCTGTACGAGTATCTATGTATCTCTGTGTACCACTGTGTCGCTGTGCATCTCCATGCATCTCGATGTGTGTCTGCGAGTTTACGCTATGGCCCATACATAGTGTGTGGGTTCCATGGCCACAATCGCACCACTGCTGCGGCTCGTGCCATGAATGCCCCACGAGTCATGATGATGATGACGATGACACGACAGTGCAGCGAGTGGACGGACCTCTCCTGGACTGCGTGTGATCACGGAGAGACGGCGAGCGAGTTACAAACCTCTCTGCGATGTCCACATCACGGCCGATGCGATGATGATGATGGTTAAGTGACGGTGCGAATTGCGTGCCCGTGTCATCGCAATGCAACAGAAACTGGCGACACTCAACAATCTCGCATGGGAACTGGGTGCGTGCCCACAACATCAGAGCTCGAGATACAAAGGCGGCCGAGCGGGTGTGCCCAGCCACACACACGCAGCCCGGTCATAATAGGTGCTCGCTAACTGCACCCGCCGGCAAAAGTTCGAATTGTTAAAGTACGCAGAGAGTGGAGGAGGAGTCTCCATGCCACGACTTTCCGATCGCAAAAGACGGCGTCACCACAAGTCCGCGGGTTTTTGTGCCCCCCCTACCACCCGTACAACATTCTTCCTCGGCAAGGTGAGCGTCGAAGTTTCCACCCGTGGGCCCGTGGCTCGGAATGGCCATCGAAGTTCACAAGCCACGAGAGCTCAGCACCCAGCACCACCACCCAGCACCCAGCACCAGCACCACCACCCAGCACCAGCACCACCCCCCAAGCACCACCACCACCACCCCCCCCCAGCACCACCACCACCCCCCAGCACCACCACCACCACCCCCCAGCACCACCACCACCACCCCCCAGCACCACCACCCCCCAGCACCACCACCCCCCAGCACCACCACCACCCCCCAGCACCACCACCCCCCAGCACCACCACCCCCCAGCACCACCACCCAGCACCACCACTACCACCCAGCACCACCACTACCACCCAGCACCACCACTACCACCCAGCACCACCACTACCACCCAGCACCACCACTACCACCACCCAGCACCACCACTACCACCACCCAGCACCACCACCCTCCACCACCACCACCACCCCCCAGCACTACCCCACAGCCATCACCCCTGACCCACCCCGTGACCCGCGCGCCCCACGGCGCGGGCCCCCAACGCTCTGCCCAGGGTCTCGACTCTGGCGGAAGCAATGATGGGGGTGGTGGTTCGATGGGGGGAGTGGAGGCGATGCAGATGAAACGAGCCAATCGCAATGTGCCAGCATCGCCACGAGAGGAGCCACAAACAGCGCCCCGCGTGCCCACACAAAGAACCCCGAACCACCCCCCGCGTGTAGCCCTCGCAAGCCGCTGGGACAATTGCGTGCTCAGAGCGGCCACGCGAAGGTCGTGCGGTCATCCCCCCCTGCCCCACTGCCGATGCTCGCCGTTGCGCCAAGGGTGCTCAGTGATTAAGGCCGAGTCGACCTAGGCGAGGCACGGGACCGGTGTCACGAATGCGCGCCAGCGCCTCCGGCGGGCAGCCCGAGTGTTCGGAGTGTACAGTGCGTACACGCGGCACGCTCAGGCGACGTGGCGGGGCGCTGCCTCAATTATTAAACAACTCCCTGTGACACCACCACCCACCTCCAACATCATCATCATCATCATCCCCAACACACAACCAACCCAACACACAACCACCCCAACACACAACCACCCCAACACACAACCACCCCAACACACAACCCACGCACACAGCCCCCGCCTCGCTTCACCACCCACACACCTTCTCAACACCCATCCACACACCACACACGCCACCACACACACCACTACACCACCCACCTTCTCTCCGGGTGACTCCATTGCGTTCGAGGGCGAGCGAGCTCTTGGCGAGGGCTATGCGAGCCGTGTGAGCTATGTGAGCTGTGTGAGCTGTACGAGCTATGTGAGCCGTCTCTTCTCCCCGCCGCTGGCTGCTCGATCAACTCAAAAACGTGAATGCGTAAAACTAAATCTCTCTCTATACTCTCTCTCTCCCTCAACCGACTGTTGCCGGGAATAATTATCGGCTACTAAATATTCAAATTTCTATTACGCTCACTGTTTGTTGTTGTTATTGTTGTTATACACTATGCGCGAGAAGACGAGAGCTACAAAGGCGCTGTGATGGAGACGAAGCGAGAGGAATTGTCAAGAGCCGAGTTTGTGCGAGAGTCCCTCCCCTGGCCAGCTTTATAGATGAGACTCGGGCACGTTCACGTCACGTGCAGAGTCCCCACCCAGCCACCTCCGTCTCTACCCGCCCCTTGCTCGTCGTCCTGCCCACACCAACACCACCCCCCCTCCCCCCTCTATTCAACAGCAGCGTCATGCCGCCACCCCAGAAGGATGGTTCCGTCAAAAGTCGTGGACAGCTCCATAACCAGAAGGCGCGTGATTGGCGTGTCGAGGCAATGTGGGTGTGTACCAGTGTGTGTGTGTACCAGTGTGTGTGTGTGTGTACCAGTGTGTGTGTACTCGTGTGAGTGTGTACCAGTGTGTGTGTGTGTACCAGTGTGTGTGTGTACTCGTGTGAGTGTGTACTCGTGTGTGGGGTGTGTGTACCAGTGTGAGTGTGTACCAGTGTGTGTGTACTAGTGTGAGTGTGTGTGTGTACCAGTGTGTGTGTGTGCCAGTGTGTGTGTACTCGTGTGAGTGTGTGTGTGTACTGGTGTGTGTGTGTGTACTCGTGTGTGTGTGGGGTGTGTGTGTACCAGTGTGAGTGTGTGTACCAGTGTGTGTGTACTCGTCTGGCACAAGCGTCGTGGTGACGTCACCGCCACTTAGTGGCGAATGGCGGTTGTTGTTGTTGTACTCGTGTGAGTGTGTGTGTGTACCAGTGTGTGTGTGTACTAGTGTGTGTGTGTACTCGTGTGTGGGGTGTGTGTGTACCAGTGTGAGTGTGTGTGTACCAGTGTGTGTGTACTAGTGTGTGTGTACTCGTGTGTGGGGTGTGTGTGTACCAGTGTGAGTGTGTGTACCAGTGTGTGTGTACTCGTGTGAGTGTGTGTACCAGTGTGTGTGTGTACCAGTGTGTGTGTACTCGTGTGAGTGTGTGTATGTACCAGTGTGAGTGTGTGTACCAGTGTGTGTGTACTCGTGTGAGTGTGTGTGTACCAGTGTGTGTGTACTCGTGTGAGTGTGTGTGTACCAGTGTGTGTACCAGTGTGTGTGTGTACCAGTGTGTGTGTACCAGTGTGTGTGTACCAGTGTGTGTGTGTGTACCAGTGTGTGTGTGTACTCGTGTGCGGGATGTGTGCGGTGTGTGCGGTGGTTCAGGGGTTAGTGCGCTGCGCTACGAACCAAACGACCCCGACTTTAATTCCCGCTCACGGCCACCAACCCCAGTCCTGCGCCACGCCTAAGTCGACTCAGCCTCATGCGACGTGTAAACATTGCCTCTAGGGAGACAAAGGCGGCCGGGCGTGGTGCTGGCCACCCACCTCTTCGTGTGCCACAGTGCCGGCATGCGAGGTGCTCGCTAACAGCGCTTCCTCCTACAGTCCGTTAGGGATACACGTGTGATCTTTGTGTGTGCGTGATGGTGCGTTCAGTGTGTGAGTGTGTGGTGTACGTGTCTAGGGAGCGGAGGAAGCTCGTGACGGACGGCCCCTCCTGCTCGGCAGTTGGAGGGCAGAGGAGCGACGCTCACAACAACGAGCGGAGCGCAGTGCGAATAAAACTCAGCAAGTTGGCACGGTGGGCGGCACGGGTGGTGCATCTGGCAGTCATCTCAGTCGTTCGATCAATGGCACCTGTGTCTGTCCCGCGACCTGTCAGCGAGCCCTGACACTTCAGTCTAAGTGCCAGACTAGGTGCGCAAACGTGGAGACGTCACCACCACTTCGTGGCGAACGGCGGTTGTCGTTGTTGTTGTGGGTAGCGGTAGCGTAGTGGTTAGCGCGCTGCGTTACAAACCAGGCGACCACGAAGTCGCGCCTCCCCTAGGTCGACTCAGCCCACATTGTTGTTTTACCTGAAACGGTTGTGTAAACCGGGGAGACAAAGGCGGTCGGGCGTGGTTAGTGTTTGGTGATCGCCACACCATCCAATCGACCCCGGCCTCTGCCTGCTCGTCAGGTGCTCGCCATCAGCTGATTCCCCAGCAGCTGTAACGGCTCTGCGCCGTGGGGGGGGCTCATCGTGCCCTCTCGTGGTGGCCCAGCGGACCTCGAGATTCGAGTTCGGCTCCCTGGACCAGCCTGCTGCTGACATCTCACGCGCGCGCCCCTATTGGAGTCCGAACACAGATGTTGTTCTTTCGTACGGGCTGCTGATGTAGACAGTGCCGGATTATCCTCGTAGCAAAAGTAGCTACATATGCTACGGGCCCCCACTTTCAAGGGCCCCGCGCCAAATGCTTTCACACTATCAATTCCGGTTCAGTGATTCTGCACTTGCTCTATTACTATAGTACTATACCGCCTTCGACTTTTATGAACGACTGGGTGTTTAAGGTTAGCGATTTTTCGTATTATCTGGCTGTGTAGCAAATGAAAAAATACAATTACTTTACTATGCAAGTAAAAAACATGTCTTTTAATATTGATGTTTTTTTTATTTTATTTAGGGCCGCTATTTAACATTTGCTACAGGCCCCGCACCAGCTTAATCCGGCACTGGATGTAGACGCGCAGCAACGACTACAACTTGACATTCAGGTGGTCAAGCACAGACAACCGCGTCAGGAGTAGCGGAGTGTATCATTGCTGCGATGATGTCTCCTCGTGTGTGTGGATCGGGGCATTGCGTCGTTACACGTTGCACGGTGTCTGTTCTGGATGACCTCAGCCGCACACCGGATTCCGATGATTGATTCCGAGAAGAAACTCGACTGCGTCAAAGGCTGCATCGAAGCATCAAAGGCTCCGGAGACATTCTCTGCCGCTATGTGAATGATAACGCGAGATGCAGTAAACACATTTTTATTAAAACGGTGGCGGGGGGGGGAGGGTGGCGGAAGGGGGGTGCCTTCCATGCATATTTATACCAAGGTGTTATAATTGTTATAATTCTATGGGATTTCTCTCACCTTTTTGCTATTGCTGCTGCTGCTGCTTTTCAATATAATTGTCGGATTCCTCCAGTCGGCAGTTGTGACACACGGAGAACGTGGATGGCTGCGAGCACGTGGCACGCGACAGAGTTGTTCTCCTGCCATGAACACAATTGTGACGCCTTAAAGTGTGTTGTCGGTAACGGCACGGGCTGCTCTCTACCACCGCTTGCATTGTGGCACTGCGAATTGTAAGCGAATTGCTTGAATCAAAAAATAACATTTACTGAGCTCGAGCAACAACAACAATGACCTTTATCAATCGCCCGCTCCGCGCCTGAGATAATGATCATGATTGTTGTTTCACAAACGAGTGAAACATGCGTGCATGTTCAACAATGGCATTCCTCCGTTGTGTCTCAACTCGAACGCGTGTCATTTTCGCCGCAATTATGTTCCAAACGTTCTCTAAGTTGGTGCAATCACCCCGAGTCGCGAGAGACCGCCCGCAGAAGAGGGTATCATAGAACTGCTTCTGAGACGCCTTCAATCCACTGCTCAGCCACACTGGGGCCGCTGCACTTTCACACGCAGCCTGCTCGGCAAAAAATGCCCATCGCGTGGCAAGTCAAACTCACATTTTATTTTTTATTCTCAAAGCTGGAAGATTCTCCAATTTAAGTACACAAACATCGTAATAATACAACAGTTTGTTCGTGCAATCATCGGTAACTGAGAACCACCCTCAGTAAATTCGGTTTCATCACGGGTGACCGCACCCGGATGTGAACCCCAATGACGGAGCAGCAGCAGCAGCAGCGACGTCTCGAGTTGACACGGGGAAGGGGGAAGAGGGAAGCGTTCGGTAAACACCGTCGCGGCCTCGTGCATGGGAACACAGGCAGGGAGGGATGGAGGGGAGGCGGGGAGGGATGGAGGGGAGGGAGGGAGGGATGGATGGAGGGGAGGCGGGGAGGGATGAAGGGGAGGGATGGAGGAGAGGGAGGGATGGAGGGGAGACGGGGAGGGATGGAGGGGAGGGGAGGGATGGATGGAGGGGAGGCGGGGAGGGATGGAGGGAGGCGGGGAGGGATGGATGGAGGGATGGAGGGGAGGGATAGAGGGGAGGGATGGAGGGGAGGGAGGGATGGAGGGGAGGGATAGAGGGGAGGGAGGGATGGAGGGGAGGGATGGAGGGATGGATGGAGGGGAGGGAGGGAGGGATGGAGGGGAGGGATGGATGGAGGGGAGGGAGGGATGGCCCTGCTAAGGCAGATGTGGGGGCCCAGGTGCCAGACCCCGGGCTAGCAGTGAAATTCCTGGGCCATCCGGCGACCTCTGCTTTCAAGGTATTGCGCGATCTTTATGCAATACCCGCGTGACGCCAATGGAGCCCACGCGTGTCTCATCGTAAAAACTTCCGAGTCGGCGGCACGGGCCGTTACACAAACCTTACAGTGCGAGAAGACATCGATCGCTCTGGTTATTTAAATAACAACTTTCATTTAAATTTTGATTTAAAGCTTTCGTGACTGCAGTAATTCATATTCTTAGTTCTTTCGGTTAAGTCACGTTGAAGGGAAACAACAAAATAATAAAATATATATAAAACAATAAAAATTATCACGACGTTTCGACCATAACACAAACGGTCGTCTTCAGGTGTGTTGGTTTGCATAAATTTATTTTTAAACGGTGCATTTATTTATTTAAAAAAAACGTTAGCGCCACGCGCAGCGATTTGGCAGTTTATTTAGGACTAGACCATCTATATTCTGAAAAGAGGAGGGGGGAGACGATTTTTTTTTATATAATGTATGCTGTCTGAAAGCCACTGTAAGCGTGAACAATCAATTAAGACCTGAAATGGTTTATCAAATCTTTCCAATGATTGCTAAGATAGAATCCATCTTCTCGGTTGAAATTGTCTCTGTGCTTGTATATGTGGATAGCCTCATGAACGAATCTCTCATGGTAGCCAGATGGCTATCTTCATTCGGCCCGTCCTGAAGTCATTCGCTCAAAAATGAAAAGGTGAACGTCTGCAGCATTCTCTTAGTCCTGGTATCGAGTCGGATACATTGCGATGGAAGTCTAATCAATATGTGATTGGGGTGGAGTGGTGGCACGGTCGTTGTTGGAACTTCGCGTTATGAACATTGCGAACCCGAACCACGGCTAATATCAGCGTCGAGTCATACAAATAAACATATTAGACGACGTTTC